TTAGCGATTGAGAAGAGAGCTCAGATTCTATGGGTGTATAATGAGTCTATCATGCCCATAAAAATGAGCAGATCAGAGTTTTAATCTTATGTTTTATAATCACTGCTCTCTTCTCAAATCAAATTTCAGAAAATCAAATTAACAAAATTTGTTGAAATCAATATAGTAAAGAACAAAGCTCGGATCGGATACGTGCAACAAAATACGGATCATATATCTCTCAAAAAAAAAAAAAATGAAATCTTTTAAAGGAACCAGAGACAAAGAAAAATGAAAGAGGCGTCTCTATTTATTTCTCTTCTAGACGGTGAATGTGTGTAATAGAGATGTGTTTGATGGCTATTTATATAACCGACGGTGATTCTAGTGTTTTTAGGGTTTCATTGGGCTTTTAATCATATGAATTCATACATTAATTGGACCTAACTTTATGGGCCATTATAGTCCATGGTTGTGATGAAAATGAAACTATGAATTGATCACGCTCTAATTTTCCTTCATTTTTTTTTTCATAATAACCCGATTTTTTAGGTCTAAATCCATAATCTCTTGCGAGTTGCGACGAAAAAAAAAACATAATAGATTAAAGAAATAATATTTTTATGGAGTTATCAATGTGGGAATTTTGAGATACTGTATTCCTAATTTTCTTTCTTCCCAATTTTTTTTTTCCTTTTGGGATTTCGGGTTTTAGGGGTGTATACACCGATTTATTGGTCAAGCTACTAATACCGATTTATGGTTTTTATTTTAGATGTCACATACATATTACACAAATACACAGTATACACCAAAACGAATAGTATAATATTTTTTTTCTTTTGGCGTCAAACGCAGAGTATAATTAATATGGTGTCTGATATAATTTCTGGTGAGTATTTAGGAAAGTATTGTATTTGGGAAACACCTTTTTGATAAGTCCATACCACTACGTGTTATGTTTCTATTTGCATGAGATTTATCTTTTAGTGATCGCATAAAATTCAGTTTTTTTCCATAAGATATGGTATAATGTATCTAGATTTATCCTACATCAATTCAAAAGCATCTTATCATGAACAAATAAAAGTAACTTTAAATCCTTGAATTCTCTTGTTTATATAAATACGATTCAAAGACTAGTAACTGGATCTCATTAATTTCCTCCTTTTTTATGTGTCATAAAAATACAAGTTCATGTCAAATGTTTATAAGATTCTCGATATCAAGCAGGGGCGGATGCACCTTGAGTAAGATGGGGGTAGATGCACCCACTACTTTATCCAGATGTCATATAAAATTTGAACAATTTTGATAATGCCCATGTTCATATTTGCAATTATGCCCCCAATGTTTTGAAACTTAACATAAAATACCAAACAAATTCAATCTAAACACATGGTAAAAAAATTAGTTGTACGAAAGCCCATATGACCCAATTTCTTTTTTGTTTTAAATCTTTCTAAGTGAAGCCTTAATACTTAACTGATCTTCTAACTTATAATTTTATTTTCTTTATTATTGTAAATATTTTTTCGAGCCGTTTAACGGTACGAGTGACACGTTTTGATAAATTGTTTTATGGGTAATCTTTGATTATTAATCTACGAAATTTAAACTAAATTTTTGCCCCATCAAAAATAATGTATGGATCCGCCACTGATATCAAATAATCCTTTGTTGTCTCAAAAAGAAAAATTCAACGGTAGCTTTTGTCTCCGTTTTTTTTTCTTGATCAGTCTTGTTCTTGTTTTTTTCTACGAAGCACTAGAATAAAGAGACACGATGATTGGATGGATTCACATGTATGTTGTAAACATAAAAAGACTAAACACGTGTAAGATGGGTTTTTGCATAGAACCATACCAGTAAATTATTGTTTAAATTTTACATTTTACATGTAAAATAACATGCTCAAAATATGATTTCTCTGTATGAATTCGACAATTGATTCAAATACTAGGTTACGTAATAATTTATCCAAACATAGTTCACGAAAGGTTTAGATCGGAGGAAAGCAAAAGCATATGAAAAGGAGAATAAAAAGAGAGATGGATAGATTTCTTGTAGAAAAGTTAACTTTTGCTTTTCTTTTGATCTTTCCAACGAATTTTGGACATCTTGAAACTGTTCGTCCTCCTAAAAACTTATCATTTATCAAAGATTGTCTTATAATTTGATGCATTTAAACTTTAAAGTGATTATTATTGTTAATATATAATCACAACCTCGTAAACTATTCTTCCATCAAATCAACACCAATTAGAATCGAACGTTTTGAAGTGACGATGTGAGGCCACGGTTTACTCTTTTTATTTCCGCATATGCTCTATATTAACTTTTCCAAATTCATCGAATAAATGGAGGAATTAACTAAGGTATAAGTGCGCTTAAGTAAGACAGCACTAGTGGACCTATGAAGTCACCAAACCATCGTTATCTTTACTTTCCTAGCTTGGTAAAATACAATCCACCTGTTAAACTCGTATACATTAAAGCGAGTGTGGATCGATGACTAGTAAAAATGAAACATTATACCAAAAGCTTCAATAAAGATGATACGATAGGGATGACGACGTTATCTCAAACTATTTTAAAATGTTGTTATTTTTTACCAAAAAAAAACTTAGACTCACATACATTCAACAGTAATCTTTTTTTGCCCAACCAAAAGTGATCTTAATATGTAAATTTAGAACCAAATATTATGCGTACTTTGTTATTTTGGACGTATATATATGCGTAATATAATATTTGAACTTCTTAGACTTACAAAATACCACATTGAATTCGTTTCTAAGACTTACGGTTATTGATCAAGGGATAGCATCCACGGGTCTAAATGGTAAGTCTTTTAGA